TTCAACTTGCTTTGTAATCATTCATTCAACTGAAGATGACAGAAGCTCTGTCGAAACATGTCTTGCAAACTTAAAAAATTGGTCGTTTTCCTTAAAATAGTAAATGATAATGAACTTATCCGAGATACTTGTTTTAGCTACACACTACCCTGAACGTGTAGGCACAATCTATCTATCTATCTATCTATCTAAATAACATTCGTGTATCTTTTAATCGGTTAAGATTTGAAAATATCGGAGAGCAAGAGAATAAGGTGTTTTTAGTTTAATACAAGTACACAGCAAAGAACTTAACATTACCTCGGCGCCGTAATCCCTTCGTAGGATGTAGTAACGTGATCCAGGAGAGTGTTTGAGAGAGCTTTTATTGGTAAAGTGACTTCCTTCATTCAGCTCACAGTATTTTTGGTCGTTGGTTTCCTTGTAGTTCAGAGACAAACATCGACAGTCCTGCATGCACTTCATGTAGCACTGAATTGGGTTTAACGTGACAGAATTGTGAAATACATGGCCAACAAACTCTGAGTCTTGCACGGCATCTTGGTACACGTCGAGGGAAATCTTTTGACAATTACCTCCTGAACAGTCTCCCTTAACCTCCAAAATTGTAACGAGAAATAAAAACACAACCGGACAAATCATGTTTCGTTTTGCCTGATGGATCAGGCCTGGCGTTATCGCTTAAGATTTAACGACATTCCTAGTTAGAGAACGGATTTTAAAGATCGCCTAGGATATAATTCAGCGACGAAAAAAAATTGATCTCTTTCTGATGACGAATACGATTGACAGTAGGATTAAATAAATGTGCTTTTTCCTTACCAAATTAAACCAACCTGTCGCTGGTTGGGCGTCAGCACGAATGAAATGGTGCCTCTGCAGACACATGACTTATTGACCTTCAGAAACGGTTTAAGACTGACTGTAGGGGGAAATTTTCAATGAAGTATTTGTCAATAACAAACCAGATATCAATACAACTTGCAGCGAGAATTTTATTTCGTTTCAAACTTCTTTCGTGAAACTTTGTCGTGGTCTGTAGATGCTTTAATCGAACGGTTTTATTTAGAAATTAAGTAGCGGCTATTTTACAAGAACTATAAAATTTCTCACTCGCTCGGCTCGCTGGCTGATTAACATTTTAATTAAGAGTACGTGCGCACAGACGCATACTTTTTTAGATGACACCATCGCGTGCAGGGCTCGAAAATGTCGCCAAACATTTTACAGCGTGTCAGTAGTGTTGTCAGTTTCCTCCATGAGCGACAGATCTAAATTAATAATAATAATCATCATCATCATCGATATTTAAACAGGGTGACCTCTTCAGTCGCAGGACTGGTATCAACGGGAGCCCTGTATAATATATTTAAAGAGATATTCATCAAAATCGTTAAGATATCTCTGAATTCATATTGGATTCAACTGTGAGGTTCAAAGCAGGTGTTACTCAAAGGTTATCGTGAAACTCGATAAATGGAATCTGATTAATTTGCTGTGTTCAAAGACAGCTTATTGAGCCAATGCAAGCGGTCGGAGATCGACAATAATTGAGTATGTTTGAAGAATGTTCGAATAGAATGAATGTTGTCTGTTTCTGCATTTAAGTTTTGAGTTATTGTACGTGGTTTGAAGTCTGTGACGGCATGACCGCATGAGTTTCGGAATCATTTTAGCTAAGAAAATTCCAGTTTCTTTCGCACCTTTACCAAGCATTTCCTCTTGTCAGAAGTCTAAACTTGATCGTTTGGGTCTTCTGTTGTTGTAATAAACAAACTTTGGGTCGGGTACTTGTTTGTTCTATACTAAAACAACTATCACCTTAGTGTCGTGTTAAGTGTCAGGTGTCATCCTTTACAAATATACCAATATGCAATATCTCCTGACGCAAACACGTAAGGTTTGGGTGTCAAGTCCCAAAGTTAGAAGTCCCGTCCACATCCGGCTTGTATAATAATCTCAGAGGAAAAACTATGCAACTGGAATGTCATTTTACGACTGTTAAACTGAGGACCTTTTAGCGAAGATATCAGTGACGTCACCTATTGTTATTAATATACTAATTAAACCAGAGAACTATTGGCTGCTGAAAAAAAGAGTCCTTTTGTTTAACCTTTTGAACATTTAAATAACAAAAACAATTTTTGTAAACAAATATCTTCGCTATTAGTGTTTGGTTTATAAATTATACGTCAGGCAAGCAACAGCTCTTATTGCAGTTGAGCCTGCAGTCAAATATCCGTACGAACGAGGTGAAATCGAACGGGTCAATACAAAGCAAAATTGACCCTTTCGCCTCGTTTGTATGTCAAACCACTGAAAACTTCAATAACAGCTATTCATGCCAAAGGCCGAACAGCAATGTTTTAATTCCTCTCTATGATCCTACTTACTAATTTTTTCACTAGTGTAGCGCCGAAATGATTGTTAAAAGTGGAAAATAGCCTCTGTCCTTATGGGAGCACCTTTGTTTACAATATTTGCCTCATTAGCATAAGCGATACAGTTTCAGATGGAGCTACAAAAAAACATCAGTTCTGAACATTAAAAGGGCACAATACGATGAACTGTCCCGAGGAATTTGAGCCTGATGTATTGAATACTTTTTGTACTACGCGGATCTGAAAACTCAAAATTTTACATGACTGATGTATGAGCTCATTAGCGCTTTTGCCATCCAGAAGTTTTGCAGTTTTTCAAAACCCATTTCTCTTGGAATATTACACCCAAAGAGCCAAAACTTTTACCAATTACAGTGAACCCCGCCTGACGGCTTCCTCGTTAATACGACCCCCTTCGTTATTACAGCCACTTTATTGTGGCCCGAACAAAAGCTCAGTCAGTCATTTTCTCAATTTAAAGAACCCCTCTGATACGTCCACCCCGTTAATACGGAGAGACGTTTGTGGCCCGTTGATGACCAGTTTAACGGGGCTCCACTGTACTAAGTTTGAAAAGCTCTTTAAATGAGTATAGTCAATAACGGCAGCAAAGATTCAAACACTTACGTCACCTTCAGGCAAAGAAGGTGAACGGAACTTAATGCGAGGTAAAAATTTTAAAAGAAGAGGATTTAAAATTGAACAATGGTGGAGATATTAACTTGAATCTAGTAACTTGCATAGTGATACAGGAGCACGGACTTAAACATTCGTGAAACATGCCCTGCTATGGCTGAACGGCCCCCAACATCGTCGAAATGGTAAGTTCAAATAATGCTACATAGTGGAATGGGTTACCAAACCCTCAGAGGCAAAATTGGACTCAAAGATATATTGCTTTAAGCTCCCGCCGCTGAAGGACCTTTATCTTTTACTGAATTTCGCAGTGCTTTCCAAGTAATATCATGTGTGAAAGATTAATTCTAAATTGTGGCGCGAAATTTCAGCGCTAATTTTTAATTTTACATGCGAAATAACAAATTTGCCTTGGCAACGTTCGGCGCGCAGTTTCTCGGTACAATAAACAAGTCTGAAAATTACGCTTGTAAGCTTAATTTGCCACCCATGATATTAAAAGATAAACAAATGGTACTGACTCATGAAATTTTTAAAAAAAACATTAACTTGCGTTTTGCCAAAATTGTAATAATATTTTGTCTCCACTTCACAACGAATCATACACAGCTAATAGGCAAATAAGAAGAACCAACTCAAACTACATTACAGCAACTACATGAATAAGAATCTACATAAATCATCCAATAACAGTTCATCAGCCAGGTACGTATAAACTCGTATCACCGACCAATTGTACAATCTGTCCTTGTGGATTCTTGTAAAAAGCTCATCTTCAGAGTAGATGTGAATACAATATGTATTTGACGACTGAGCACATTTATTACATATACACTTGGGACATGCACAGACATAACGCAAACTAAACGAGCTTTACATATGACTGGCATTATGGCTAGAGTGTTTACTACTTTGGACCTAAATCCCTTGCGTATACAAATACAACGTGTTTAAGTTTACAGAGCTAAGAAATTTACACACAACTAGCAGACAGCCTGGTTTGTCCACAACTTTGGGCTATTCATCCATCTACAAAATTAAACCCATAAACCCATTTATCAACACATTTACAAACAGATCATTCCAGTTAGGCTGAGGTGTCCACAACTTTCAACGAAAATCCGCGTACACAAAAATACCACGCCAGTTAGGCTGGGGTGTCCAGGCTGGGTAGGAACATGGCTCATGTACCGGCGATTGGTAGCCTTTCCTACGGGGGCTTTAAAAAGGTAAGGCTGTCGATAGTGCAGTAAAAATACTTGAAAAACTAAAATGAAAAAGTTAAACGGAGCTCTGAACAGGGTTGATTCAGAGGACTATATGACTATCACGTGCTACACTCCCCCTTATATACCCCTTTCTTTCTACCCATGATGCACCGGCCTGGAGCCCAGGCCGCGTTATGTCCCGTGCTGGCAAAATAGTCATTTCGGCCTTCTTCGCAAGCCGTATTCGTCAGAAATAACATATTTTGTCTCCACTTCACAACGAATGTACACACAGCTAATAGGCAAATAAGTTTATTTGGGGAGGGCCTGGCCCAATCATAAGCGAGAATTTTGTTATAGATACGATTGTAATAATAGTAATAATTATAATGTTTTTTGAGCGCATCTAACTACGCTGACGAGCAATCAAACATTTAGAAATAGTTAAAACCAATAAGCTTACAAAGAACAGGATTAAAAGCATTGAAAATAAATATCTGCTCACTCTCTTATACAATTAAAAATTAAATATGGTTGAAACCAATTATTTTGCAGTGCTATAAGTGCTAGGTAAATACAAAGTGATTATATAACTGATGAGCTGCAGATTGACATTGTTCACACTGCCGTAGTTTCGTCTGGAGATATAAACGTTTGAGAAAGTTTTTCACGGAAAGTTTGCTAACTGCCAAATTAAAGAAAATGGCAAAATCTACTAGGTTTATAGCTTCCTTGCATGCGAACCTGTAGTAACGTAATGGTGACATCTGGAATCTCCAATTGCAGGGCATACACCCGTTTCCGTACTGAAAACGAATAGCTTGCACTTTACAAGAAACAAGTTATCAAGTGCATGAATCACGTTCAAAACTTGAAATTCAATGTTATTATGCCACTGCCATACAGCTTGCAATGTTACTGGGAAGGGAGGACCCGGGCTACGGCAGTGTAACATTCGACAAGAAAAGGTATTGGACTCCTGCCATAGCTTACAGAAATATTTTATATCGTGTTCTTTCATAGACAAATGAAATCGAAAGTAAGAAAATTTAAACCGAGTGTACCGCGTTCGTGAAATCACTTGCCTCCAACCCAAAACTGAGTGGTTGCTTCTGAGCTGGAAGTACACCGAAATTTCGAATTTACATCATGATAAACTCCAAAATTGTCCTCGCTTGCCACGACATCACCACTCTGAT